ATCGATGACGTCAGTGCAGGATGGAGCGCAGCCTTCGTGTGGGCTTCGAGGGATGGCAGTTTCTACCTACATGCGGGTAGAATACGTGGACCGCCGTGGGTACGGCTGCCCAGTGGCAGGCATGGAACTACGCATCGGGACAACACAACCTACTGAGAAGGAAAAGGATATTTACGAACGCGTGGGCCGTCTTAAATAACTAACGGTTAGACGTGGTGGATGGGTGTAGTAGTGCACGGTTGTTGGGGTGTCGGTAGCACGCGTGACGCCGTGTAGCGCAGGGTGGCTGGGGTGTCAGTAGCACGCACGACGCCGGTGTCCCTGTGTGTTTTTTGCTTTTGGGGAAAGAGCTGTACACGTCGTAGATTCTTCAGTAGAGCGGGTGTTCGGGGTGATCGCAGTTGGATGGGTACGCAGTGGTGGCGGGACTGGCTGACGTGGGGTCTGGGAGGTGGAGGAGACGTGGGCAGGCCAGGTGCAGCGAACGCTAGCTGACGCGCAACGGACTGTTTTGTTCTCGTCAGGGAGTGAGCGTGTTTGCTTGCTTAACTACACATCTCTCATGTATCAGTGTTTGCGAGTGGGGATGCAGATTCCGTCGAGTGTTGTGCGGCTTTGGAGTGTGTGGAGGGTCGCACCAGCCCTCTTCACATGTGTGAACGTTTGCGTCTGTGAGGCGGTGGCTCTGCAGAGAAGTAATGTTCTGCATGAGTTTTGCCGACCGTGGACGTCAGGGCACAGCGTCACTTTGGTGCGACGGGAAGGGCCTGAGCTAGTACAATTTGGGTGTTGGATGTGATGGGGTGAAACGGGAGGGGCTATGGTGGCGGGAACCGTATGTTGATCCAGAAGGTGTGTTTTGCTTGCGCGCGAAGGCGCAGGAGCACTCATCGCATTGCTGGCGTGCGTGCGCTGGTAGTGCAGTGGACATAAGCAGCAAGGCGGTGTCATGCGTGCCTTGGATCTGCGGCGCCAACGTTAGGGGTGAGTGTCCAGTGTGGTGCGGCGGGGTTTTCTAAATGGCACCGAGGAGCCTGCGGCTTGAATGTTGTCTCGCGCGGACTGTGGCCGGGTGCCACGCTCGCTATCACGCTAGCTCCGGCTACGCGACCGTCGGCTTATCGGCATTAAACCAAGCGTGGCGTCCGCAGCAGCAGCGGCA